TTGGGCCCAGTTGCAGTGGCGGTGTGCCCCCACCTTGGCCTGGAAGCCCAAGGGGCAGGAAGTATCCGACTTCAGCAGGATGTTTTCGGCCTACGAGACGGAATGAGAGGGGCCGACAAGGCAGCATGGGGGCGGTTCAGATGAAGTTGGAGGCAGGAGCAGGGGAGTGAGTGTGATGCCTGCCTGTGACATTGCAGCAAGCTCCGGCCCCACACTCATGGGCAGCAGCCGCTGCGGTAGTAGGCGTGCGCAGCTGCTGAGGCAGGTGGCTGGCAGGGCGTGTCGAGCGGTGTTTGCCGCTGTGCAGCAGGCCTCTTGCCTTGACGCCGCCGTGAGCCTGGTGCAGCAGCGCGGGGAGGGCGCAAGGCCGGCAATGGGACGAAGCGGTGCGCCCAGAGCGGTGAAAGGCGCTGTCGAATTGGGTCGGCCGCGAAAGCAGGGCCATGTAATGGCAGCCAATCAAGCAGGCATTGGCAGTGATACGGTCACTGATGCAGCACAGCAGCAAACAGCGGCCGAAACATTGCGTTGAGACGACCAATCAAGGGCGCCTCACCAGCCGCATTTGGTGAAGTAGCTGGAGGGTTGCCGCGATGCCAATAAGGAGGGTCGCCGCCGTCGCAGACACGCCTGTGGCCGAGCTGGCCTCATCGGCTGCGGTGCTGAGGGCGGCAGTGGCGGCGGCCAGCGCGCCCCCTGAGAGGGCGTCTTTGAGGGTTCCGCGGTCGCACAGCTGTTGAGGGGTGCAGGTGGGAGTTGGCAGAGGGCATGGGCGCGCGGGGGGAGGGGGGCAGGCGGACACCACTGGCAAGAGGTGGGTCTGCAACACAGCAACCATTGCAAGGGATATTGGAGTTTACCGCCTCCAATTTGACGGCCCAACATTGTGCACGTCACCAGTCCAGAGATCAGAAACCAACCCAATAAGGAGCGCACGCCTGAATGCACAGTTAACTTTGGGTGTGCGGCAGGGTACCGCAAAAAATATGCACTCACACACAGTGGCACAATCACACAATCACAAACACAACACACCTCCGTGATGATGACGTCACAGGATTGGGCGTCCCGGCGCACTTCACCAGGTAGGAGGTTGCAAAACCACAGCTTCTGAGCGCCGCGGGCAACACCTGTGGTCCTGTCTTTGGCCTCTGCCCGTGCGTGTGTGGAGGTGTGCTTGTGGACGGTGGTGCAGCACGCAGGTTGCCGTGTGAATGGCTGGGCAAATCGGAGCCAAAAACCACCAAGGTCTCGCACCCTCACTCGCAGCAGCAATATTTGACAAGTGCTGAAAGCATTCTGTTTGGAGGGGGGGCCGGATGTCCGGATGTTGTTGCTGCACCAACCTGCTGTGTTGACGGTCACGTTGGGCATGCAGGCGAAGGCCTGGACGATGCCGGGATGTCGAACGCTGGACAGCACCGCCATCTCGACTGCGTTGCGCACAGACTGGTGGGCGGGGGCGGGGCGCCGTGGGGGACGGAGGGGAGTGCGAGGTTCGGGCATGGAGCCGGCAAGCAAGGGGCACGAGCGCAGGCAAGGAAGCTTGGTGTGGGTGGCTCGGCAGCCACCGAGAGTCGCTGCGCCCGGGGCACGCAGCATCAGCGCAAGCGTGCGGCCCACCTGTGTTGGCGATTTGCCTGTGTACGTGATCTGTTGAATACATTCGAGGTGGTGGTCGAGGAGGGATTCGAGGGGCATGGCACGGCACTGGTGATAGCGCCACAGCCCCCCTCGCATGCGGCCAGGTCCCTGGGCGGCCACGCCAACGATGCACAGTCGCCCACGCATCCACACCTTGTGCGCTCCAGGTGGTCATGCCCTCAAGAGGCCCCCTCTCCTTCTCTTCCTCCCACCAAAGGTCGTCGACATACCAACCTTGATAGCGGCTGGCATGTGGTTGTAAAATCCATGGTACACCTCCACGCCGCCTTGTGCCCAAATTCGCCCCGTCACCACGACCACCTGCTCCCGGGACCAGCCGGTCAGGGCGCCGCCGGCAGCTGCGGCCGCGCGCACGGTGGCGGCGCAGGCCGGGGCGCTCTCCAGCAGGCTCTGGGTGAGGGACTCCGCGACCTGGGGTGGTGCCGTCATGCAGCCAGGGGATGACCGCTGTTGCGGTAACCAGGCCCAATGCCGGGGCAAGTGCGGGGCAGGGATGTATTGGTTCATGTTTTGAAGGCAATTGAAGGCAAATGGTTCAGCTGACACATGCCTTTGCCTGCCCTGCCCCATGCCCACATCCCCAGCGAACCCAACGCAGCGCGAGCCGCGCGCAGATGCCGCCGTCCCTCCTCGCGCGCGAGCGGGAGGCACCTCGGGCGTGCACTCAGCAGCGCCTTGGAGCCACGAAGAGCAGTTGCAGCTCCAAAGCGTCGATGCCTCCGAGGCGGCTGCAGCGGCGGCCAGGGCGGCGGCCGAGAGCCGCCAGGACTCCTGATGGGTGCTGCGGCAGGGGCTGACCGTGCAGCTGCACCATGCTGGACTGTTCCCGCTGCTGCTATCACTAGGCGTTGACGCGGACACCAGGCCGCCCTGTGAGTGCATGTGCGTGTTTTGGCTTGGGAAATTCAGAGGCTGTTTGCCGTGTGTGTTCGTCGTGCAAGCGCGCAATCACGGCAGGCCCCCAGTCATCGACGCCGGCCCGATGACGGTTCAGCAGCGGCAGGGCGCAACCAGCCCCATCACTACACATGCGCGCGCGAAATGCACCTTCTCTTCTTCGAAATCAAGCATCTTGAGCGGCACGCAGTACGCATTTTGCGGCATGCCGCTGGCGGCGCCCTTGACCCTGTCGTGGTGCGTGATGTGGCCCCTTGCTGTGACTGGGCGGGCTGAAGGGCACGCGATGTCGGGCCCGCTGGGTGGCAGCTCATCCCCATGCGGCTGTGAAGCGCATGCACCCATTATGCTGCAGCTCTTCTATGCCCACGCGGCTGCGTGGAGGATCGCAAGCTGGGCAGCGCCTAGTAGGTTTGCGATATTGGAACGAAACTGAGACCCCAACTGCACGGTATTAACCTTATATTGAGATGTGGTTAAGAACTTTGTGTTGTCGCAGGACCCCATCCGGACCCTCTCGCAACTCCATTTTGCAGACGAAAGTTCCGGCGTTAGTGCCGGGATGGACTGCGAACTTGCCGTGACCTCGACTTTAGGGCAAAGAATTTGTCATGAAGGAGGTGCAGAAGAATTTCGCTGCTGTCTCTGGGCATGCGTAAAAAGCGTTCACCTCTGCTGGGACCTGGGTGGCGCTGCGGTCCCGGCTAAACCGTCGCCATGATTACAGCAAGCTTCGTAGCAGGCTGGCCCCAACTGTGGCTCCGCTCAGATAGAGCCAGCTGGGCACCTGCCACAAGCTTGATGAGCAGAGCAACAATCCAGGCGCGTGAACAACCCCTGTTTACTGCACGGACACGCGCAGACTGTGTAACAGACGCCACACGCACGGCTGAGCTGACGGGGCGGGGGAATGGGAGAGGGTGTGGCCGTGGGGTCTTCGATACCAATGCGTACTTATCATCACGCCTCCCTTCTCATTACCATTTCAGAATGTGCTGGGCCTCTCGAAGGGGCCCTGAACACAGGTCACACGCCGCTGACAGGCGAGGCTGCGCGTACGCTTGCGGCGGGGGCTAGCATTCTGGCGGCGGCTGCCGCGTGTGCGCGGAGGCCGCACATGCGTGTGCCGTATCTCCAATGGCTGCACTTATTGCGCGTAATGTACGCGGGAATAACAAGCTTTGCTCTCCGCGGGAATTCCAGGGGCTCTGCACGCTCCTAGGGGGCCCCCAGGGACTCGCACTGCTGGGTGCCGACCACAATCACAGCGCACCGCCCCGTCTTGGCTGCCGCCCGCCTCATCGCGGGCCCCTGGCGCCCATCTCAGCAGGCCAAATGGTCCTGACGGACACACGCCAATGTGGCGTGCAGCATCACCCAACACGCGACTGACGCTGGGGGATCGACTTCTGGGGTCGCGGCAGCAGGCAACAGCCTTGCAGCGCCCTTTGCTGGAAAGCCGCTTTGCCACTGGAAACCCGTTAGGACAGCAATTAGCCTGGATGGCTGTAGAAACATCATCTCATGCGGACGCTGTCACCGAGCGTTATTGCTTGCAGCACCCTGTGGGCGCCCTTGCGACTTCCATCTTCAACGCCGCCGCTGTCCTGACGCACACTGCCGCTGGTACGCTGGCAACTCGTGGTTGCAGCGGGACAGAGGGCGACACGTCGGCCTTGTGCAAGGCAACTGCATTTGGGGGTTTGCTATGGCGCTGGACCCGGCGTCATTCCTGCTCGAATTGCACACCAGGTTTGGTTGTGGATCCACGGGTGGAATGGCCCAAACGCGTTAACCGGCGGTTGCCGGTGATCGTCATGTGCACGGCACACCGACTGCATCCCCTGGTTGTGGGTGGTGGATGCCTCGAGGCCGAGTCAGGAAATTCGACGTCTTGTTGTGCATTCCGTTGGCGCCAATTGAGCAAGGTGCGCCCCCTGCTGGTCGTGGCATCAACCGCCGCGCCTTCCCACTCTGGGCACCCCCCGCTGTGTGAAAGGGGGCCGGGTCGAGACATTTACAAGGATGCACTTCTTCCTTGATCAGGCGCGCGCAAGGGATCAGCTTGAGCAGGCGCAAAACGAAACGGGGGCTTTGCCGGCCAGATGCCACTTCGCACAAAAAAAAGAGAGCGCCGAGACGGTGCCGGTCTGGCCGCGTGCCGCGGCTGCCCGCCGCTGCTGGCCGAATGCGTGTGAGCTAAAGGAGATACAAAGCTTTGGGGAGGCCGAAAAGTTGAGATCCCGCCGACAGCAGGACGGCCCGCATGTACAAGCGCGCGTGCTGCCCCTTGTCCCTCCTGGTGCAGCCGCGCTGCGAGCCGCCCATTGCTGGCCGCGGCCAGCGCAGGGCGGCCGCGCCCCGCAGGCACGGCCGCGGCACTGCCGGCCGGAGGGGCGCCGGTCGGGGCGCTGCTGCGGACGCCCCGGACATGAGCCTCACTCCAGCCTGTTGATGATAGCGGCGGCGACGGATTGGGTGTTGCCCGTGCCGCCCACGTCAGGCGTCAGGGCGCTCAAGTCGCCGGAGGAGTACACGTCCAGCACCGCCGCCTCCAGCCTGCGCGTCAGTTGGCGGTTGGCGGTTTGCAGTCGACAATTGCAGGGCCTTGGCCAGGCTGACCGCTGCGAACCGTGCGGCCCACTAGCGAGTGAAGCCGCGCCCAGCGCGGGCGGCGTGCAGCCAGTGGCGGCGGCAGGGCGGAAGCTGATCACCCTTGACCCACACTTGTGTTGGGGCCACACACACACACACACTCACGCACGCACGCACACACACACACACGCACACACACACAAACACACACACACACGCATGCACGCACACACACACACACACGAGCAATTATCCGCGCGTATCGAGGCGATCAGGGCGCTGCCCAACGGGCGGGGGTCCAAACACCCTCCTGATTACATGACACCGGCGAGTCCACCCCACGCACCTGTCGCTGAAGCTGTGGAGTCCGAGGTGGCGCAGCATCATGGAGGTCGAGAGCGTCATGGCCGTGGGGTTGGCCACGGACTGGCCCGCCAGCTCAGACGACACCGCGCGCGCACCCTAGTTGTTTTTTCAAGGGGCGAGGGGAGGGAGTGAAAGGGGGGCCCGACGGTGGGGGGTGGGGAGTCGGGTGCAAGGGTGTGTGTGGGGTGGGATAGGGGAGGCACGGTAGGGGTCTGGCGGGGGGTAGTGAGAGGCAGCTTCCAAGCAAGTGGCGCACGCTGGAGAAGCCTGAGTATCCCCTTACGTCCCTTGCAAGCTCGTCTTCGCTGTGATGAGACGACCCAATCCATGCCTCGGCGCCACAAGGCGGCGCCTCAGCGCGGCGCTCTACTGGTGCAGATCAAGGGTTCGTGACGTGTGACAGCTCCCGCCGCCTCACCTGCTCGAACACGGCGTAGTCCCTCCCGATGTTGCCGCCAGGCACGATGCCATTGCCGCCGCAGAGGCCTGGTGATGCGACACGCACGCAGGCGAAGACGGTCGCAGGGGGAAGGGGCCGGGGTGAGAGCCTCGGCTGCGCGGGATCCTGCCCGCACCAGGCCGGACAGAGGCGGCGCCCCCTTACAGCGCCGCTGCAGGCTCGGCCGCTTTGCCCCGCCCTGCAACGAGCCCATGCGCCCCTGTGAGCCGCACGCCCCAAATGCACTCGAGCACTCTCGCAGTCCCCGCTGACTTGCTGGCCCGGCCCCGCCGCGCATCCTCGCATCCCGCCGCTCACCCGCCACCACGTTGGCCACCAGGTTGCCATACAGGTTTGGCGCCACCATCACATCAAACTGGTCCGGCTTGGAAACCTGGGGCGGGGGAGGGCAGGAGCCGAGTCGCTGCGTCAACCCATAGGCCCACCCAACGATTTTTGGGTGGCGGCGCGGCATCAGCATCGACACGAGCGGCCATGCCCACGCGCAGCACGGGCGCGGCGCCAGCCCGCAGAGATGCCGTGGGCGGCGAGCGGGTCCTGCGCAACGCCCCGCCCCCTTTGCTGCCCCTGCCCCGTGGTTGCTGCTGCGCTGCGTTTGGCGGCGGCCGTCCCCACCAGCTGCATGCAGGTGTTGTCCACGATCATCTCAGTGTACTCGATGCCTGCGAATGTGGTGAGCAATGCACAGCAGTTGCTCAAGCGCGAGTCCGTCAACAGACGCAAGGGCAACGCAACTCCGAGCTGGCTTCTGTGAGTGCCGCGCCACTGCATCCGCGCCAAACAGGCATCAGGCACAAGGCGTCGCTCGAATCCCAAAGAAGCTGCTGGGCAGCTGCACGCGCCAGGCGTCTCCGCACCCGGGTACTTCTTGGCTACGGCCTGGCACGCCTGCGGGGGTGTGTCCGAATGCGAGGCGGCAGAGCAGCCGGGCGTCGCTCGGAGACTGGATCGCGCCGCAGCTCTGCTGTAAACCCACACCCACGCACTCACGCGCGGTGCACACCCTCACACATCCTGTCACGTTTGTGAACCCGGCGCCCTCCCTCCCTCCCTCCC